CACACACACACACACACACACATCCAAATGAGCAGCTGCTGCTCATTTACTCCACAGATTAGCTTCCTTCGGCTATATTTACTTTCAGTGGATGGACCAAGGAAAATGCACATCAGACCCGACAGCAGAACACACACTATGGATTTTCTTTCACTGCGGCTTAAAACAATCAAAGATTGTTTTGAATCATCTTCTCCAAAAGCATATGTATATTTACTGAGAAAAAACTGTCGAAGTGAAAAGCCTGTTTTGTTTTGTAGTAAGAATCCAACAGTTTTTAAACAGAATGCTTACTGTTAAACTAAATTAACTTTTACTGTCGCTGCCTCATTCTAATTAGATTAGAAAAAAATCTGCCATCTACACTATTATATGATTTATGATATATTGTTATTATATATTATATTTTGAGGATCATCATAAATGCGTTCATTCGATCAGTAAAAAAAATTAAAAACGTTTTAGAAAATAGTTTTAAAAAATTTGCTTTTGATAATTACTTCTTACTACAGAATCTTGTAAGGTCGGATTCTTTAAACTGGGCCAAACTACTCAGTGTAGCTGAAATATTTGAGAAGAGTTAGCGCAACAGGGTAACAAGTGATAACATAAAAAATTAAACATCCCCCAATTTTTGTCAAGGAATCCGTCCGCTCCACTGGAAATCCAAGCACACACGGCCATGCAACAATATCATGTAATTGCTTGAGTTTCCACGTGTGTCATTTTGGCCGAGTTTATTTCTTTTCATGCTCCCTCAGCGACTCACAGGCTCCTCCATCTGGCACTGATGCTGTTAAACAAACGTACACGCAGTAGCTGTGAGTACGCTGGCGTTCCTCACTGTGCCAGGTTTGACACACACCACATTTGATTTTTGTTCAGAATATACTGCCCATCTCAACATTTGCTTCCCATGTGTGCAGAAAGAGAGAGTGTGGAGGTTGTTTTTTTTTTAGCAACTCCTTACAAGCCATCTCCAGACCTCCAGCTCTGCAGTTTTTCACACATACACACACACATTTTTGCTCCCTGACACAAGCACTCGAGGGACTGCCGACAGCAGGCAGGCCCGATGAGCAGCGGTAGTGTGTCTTAAAACGGTGTGTGTGTGTGTGTGTGTGTGTGTGTGTGTGTTGTGTGAGTGTGTGTGAGTGTCTGTGTGTGTGTGTAAAGCGTGTGCTGGGACGGGCAGACAGGGCTAGCGCGTTATCCTCTTATCCCCACTGTTGTGGAAAAGAGAGGCAAGCAGCTGGAGGGACTGCAAGCAGCCTGATAATGCCAGCGCTATTTTCTAACCCGCCATCTTAATCTTGTTACTCAAATGGTTGTGAAGAGAGAGTCATGAATTTTAATTTCTCTCAAACACACACACACAAACACACACACACAAGAGAGTGTGTGTGTGTGGATCCCCCGTCTCTCCCACATGCATTAATAGTATCCCCACTGTGTCCATGCACTCATACTCTACTTCTTTCTGCCTCCCTCCTCCTCCTCCATTCTCTGACATATCTTCCCTCACCCCTCTCTCCCCTCCCTCCCTCCACTCCCCTCTATCTCCCCATTTCCTACATCACGACCCACTTCTCTATTTATTCAAGCCTGTCCCTCTATCCCTTCCTCTACTCATCTCTCCATCCACCCAATCCCTCATTCTCTGTTTCCTAATCCTGCCGAGAGAGACCCCAGACATCCGGTTCATCCGTCCCTCCCTTGTCTCGGGCCCCCACACCCCCACCCTACTCACTCTCTTTTTTCCACCTTGTTCACTTTCTCTCCTGTCTACGCAAGCGGGGCAGGAATAAACGAGAAAAAGCAGGAGGCAGAGAAACGGAGAGGCGAAATGAGAGGAGAGGGAGACAGACGATGGGGTAGAAGTGGCTACAAAATAAATGACTTGCACCTCGGAAAGGGGAAGAAAAAAAAGAGAAAAGATTGTGGGGGGGTGTTGGGATAGGGGGTCGGGTTGAGAGCCGATTTAGCCAGCCACCCATGAAGCTGATTAGGCAGCCTGCGATCAGGAGGAACAGCTTTGCTTGTTAAACTTTTCACCTCTGCGAGCTCTCAGCCCTCACCGCGTTAAGTCCACCCCCCCAACCACCTACCCACCCCTCCGCCTCTCTTTCCCTCCATCCCTCCATCTATCGCTCCTCGCTCCTTCCGCCTGGTAGAATTTGAATGTGAATGCTGGCCATGGTCCCCATAGCAGGCTTAGCACAGGGGGCAGGCAGCTGCCCCTCCACGCCCAACCACCCCCTGGGCTGTCTACTCTCTCTCTCTCACTCTGACTCTCTCTCTCTCTCCCTCAGAGGGTCACAGGTTCAACCACTGGTAGGTGCCTGCAGGCATGGCCACAGGAAGATAACACACATGAAGGGCACTTGGGAAGAAAGGGAGGGACCGAGTGAGGGAGGCCGGCACGAGCAGTGCATTCATATCCAACTACACGGGCAGAAATTGTGAGGATAAAAAGGCAGAATGAGGAGAGATGATGTAAAAGAGGAGATCACTGACTTTCTGAGGAGAAGGTGTGGGAACAGGAGAGATGATGTAGAGGA